CGTCAACTGCTGCAAGGAGAAAAGGACGGAGAAAACATAAATATGAAGAGAAACATTATGAACCAGAATAAAATAAAGGTATATGTACATCTAAATAAATAGAAAATCTCGAAACAAAAATTTTATTTACTAAAAAAATATATATATATATATAAACATAGGCCAAAATATTTATATAAAATGAGGACTTGTAAAGAAACCGAAAGAAGAACGATTGTTTTTAAATAATCGTTATATCGGTACGTAATTCTTTGAGTTAACAACTGTGCTGTCAGTCTATTTCCTATTTTTCTCAATTTTCTTTTCACAACATATTTTTTTCTTATAATAAAGAGAAGAAAAAAAAAACAATTTGAAAAAAAAGAGGATGTTAAAAATTTTTTATGTCGTTGTTTCTGTTTTTTACACAGAAGAAAAGAAAAATAAGAATAATAAATAATTTAAATGAATTGAGAAAGCATCGACTGACCTTTATAAGATAACAATAATAATAAAAATTATGACAAAATGGCACCCAACGAACGCTGTTATAATTTTTTTATATACCTTACCTTTCACCTTAGGAGCACAAATATATATATGTTTTCTTTCAAATTGACTCTCTTTTTCCTTTTCTTTTCTTCTTTTTTGACAAAAATTTTTCTAACCATCAATCATCTTTCAACGAACAAGATTAACAACCCGACCTTCTGCAGGGTCGTATTTATAGTAAATACTACAAAAAATAAAACCAATGTTACAAATTTTATTTTTCTCGATGATTAAGTGGACGAAATTCCTAGAACAGCGTACTAATTGAGAAGTGCTGGGCTTAAGCTGGACTCGTACAAGAATATAAGCTGATGATTATGAGAATTCAAAGTTCAAGAACAAGGATAACTGTCGATGTAATTAAAATTATTGCAAGTGGTAAAAAGAAAATACTTCGAACGCGAATTTTTCAACGTAAAAAAAAAAAATATTTTAAATCCATTGAGCTAAAATATTAAAAATTAAAGTCAATGAAAAAAAGTGTCAAGTCATGATTGGTTTGCTTGAAGCAAATGAAGGGCGCGAAAATAAGTAGTTGTTTCATTCAGCCGCATCCGCTCATATGTCCGATAGCAGTTTGGTAGCATTCTTCAAGATAAGAATTTCGATATCATTTTCACAAATAACTCAACAATACATGCGTTGGTTCAAAAGAGGAAGATGTAAGTTTTAATGACGTTCTGTTCGTTGCGGAAGTATGCGTAAACTGATTGTTCATACCGAAAAGAGTGAAAAAGGTAATAAGGGCGTGTTCACAACTTATAGTAATTTCTGCAGGCATCCAGGGCAAGGGTATGTTTCAACCGAATGTAGGCAAAGATATAGAAAATACATCGATAGCAAAGATGAGTAAACATAACCTGTGGCACAAAAGAACCCGACTTGCGAACAACGAAATTCTAAAGAATATGATTTCCGGTGCTGTCAAAATTGCGAAGTTGAACTTTATATATAACGAGCGCATGACTTGCTCGAAAAGAAAATTTGCAAGACTGCCGTTTAATGTGAAAAGTTATCCTGCTACACAATTCTTACAATTCATGCACTCCAATTTATGTGGTCCAACTGAAACGAAATCGTTTGGCGGCCCAGGAAATACACCATATTCTATAATTGATCGTTCACACAAAACGTTTATTTACTTCATTAGAAGTAAAGAGTAAGTCCTTGTTTGACACTGCACCCGTGTATTATTACATTGTCAATATATCGGAATGTTTCTTATCTAAACCTGATAGTGCTATAGTTATCACACTTTGAATAATGTTGGACGATATTTTAAGTCTGAAATGGGTTCTCATGTATTGGAAGTGCCCATTGGGTGTGAAGAAAGCTCTTAATGCTGTTGATTTTGTGCGTAGGTCTCTCTAATGAAAAGAGTTACTCATATGTAGTGCAAAGAAAAGTTTTGCTCTACCAAGTCTGTTTAAAGCAAAGGGGGAATTTGCCGTTGACAGTCTTTTCGTTTAATTTTGTAAAATGTAGCACTAATCTCCATATGCTGACTAATTTATCTTGGGGACTAGTAATAGGTTCTTTGCATCAAGTTACGCCAGCTTCTGTGTCAAGCAAAAATGTAAGTTCTGGTTGTGTGACGCTTTTAATATTTAATATGATATAGTTTAATGATTCAAAATTTTGTAAACATTTGTGATTTGCGGAGATGTCTTTACGTCTACGAGATTTACGTTTGATGGCCGGAATTCTGTGGTAGAATGAAGGACCACGGGTTAAATTCGATTTCCAGCTCTTCTATACCATATAGGTTAGTCTTATTGTTGCCTATGATGTTATTTTCTAGACTTCTGTTGTTCGTTTGATTGTATTGTCATTTTTTTAATGTCTACTGCAATTCTTCTGTATTGGTTTCTATCTTCATTGCGTTTTTACTCAACAACTCGTTGCTTGCAGAACATATGGCTTTAAATAATTCTATATACTCTGTAATTCCGTATTTTGTACAAGCAGTGGCTTCTATTTGGCTTAGTATTTTTCTATGTTCCTCTAGTACTTGAAGCTTATTCTCTATAGCTTATTCTCTTTTATACTTTTCTAACTTTTGTGGATTAGTTATTAATCCGTCTATGCAGTTTATAATTTTGTCTACACTATGTATATATTAAAAAAATATTGAATGGTATTTATAAATATATGTTACAAATTTACATTATTATTATTTCGTTGTCAATGTACTAGTTTAAGATTTTATTTTCTCTATACAATACATATATTATTATTATTATTAGTGTAAATTTGTACGCATGTTTTCTTTTACATTTATTTTAGCAATTTGATTTTCAATAGATCTTCGGTCGAGCATTTTTCAAGAAAGCTCGTCTCTTACTCGCCAATATGCAGATAGAAACTCCCATGGTAGCGGTTGTTTTACTCGGTATTTCAGGAATCGGAACCGTCTGTTTGACTTGTTGATTTTATAATATCGTTTTATACACATCACCGAAGGACAGGCGTACATTCATTTTGTCAAAAAGTTTGCGAAGTATATATATTCTTTATTAGTATCATTTTCTAAATCTATTTAAGCATGTCTGTCTGTGTAATCCTGTTGTAAACATTTTCCTGGCCGAAAAAATAAAGACATTGACTTCGAATTTAACAAAAACACTAGAAGTTCTTGCACGCAGGTTGGTATTGGAAATGCGGCAAATCAGTAGAAGCACACGCTTACAGCATCACTTAAACTGACAACACCTTTGTTTTCCAAAAAGAATGACAAAACGGTTTTTTGCTTATTACTCATAAACCATAGCAAACAAACGTACAAAAATTTGAGTATGCCTCTATGGTCGATTTTGTAACATTTTTGCACAAAAGTGAAAAAAATTGACCACGCCTACCCAATATTACAGTGTGTTACAATTTTACTATTTTTTAAATATCTTTATGAGGCGAAAAACGAGCTTCAAAAAACCCCTTAATATATACAAATTCTTGGCTAGTTTCGAATTTTGTACACACCTAAACATATCTGTCTGTTCCTCTAACCATCTGTCTCTTTGCGAACTTTTGTAGTATTTCTGGTAAGCATTCTCCACTTCAGTAGCCATTACTTTAAGTTACGATTTTCGTTATGCTTGTGTTTGTTTGAGTAGTTTTTCAAACTAAAGTGCGCAATTAACAGGTTCAGAAAATGATTTCGTCTATGCCACAAATATAGTAAATTTAATGTAGTCATCGAGTCTGGTCTTCAATATTGGCAAGGCATAGGTATTACGTCGATTTGTAATAACACCTTTTTGTTCAGTGATGTGGTTGGAACATAACTCGTTTGTTTGCAGATCACTTTTTTGATATATTTCTTGAAATACTTTCAATTTTGCGACCAAGATATGTTATAAGTACCAGTGTTAAAATATGTGTGGTTTGTTTTCCTAAATATGTTGCGTTATTGATTTGCAATCAGTTTGTATTTCGATTATATCGTGCTGATATGTACGCTTTCGATAATAAAAGCTTTGAAATATTGAGTGATTTTACACACTAAGTAGATTATAATTGATATAGTGTAATGATGGTTCACGCATACGCATCTGCTTTGCAAACGTTTAAGAGAATGTGATGTCATCTCACCACTATTACCAGAGCTTTTGCCCGCATGTGTAATGAGAATGAAAGCGAAAGTAGTCAAATAGCTGCTTATTAACAGCGTTACTACTGTTATTGACAACAAAAACACAAAGATTCCGTATAATGCCATTGGGATAAAATTTTCTCCCTACATTTTATATCTCTTCCCACATGGTTTTTCTTAAATTACCTGCTATATTCAGCAGCAAAATACATCGATTTTTTTTTTTAGTACTATTTGTAATATTACTGAAATTTAAGTCTTTGAAAGCGATGAATGACAATTGATGGCCAACGATAGTACTGCTAGTGCTTATTAAACAATGCTTCAACGCGTTATAAAAATCCCAACGCGTTTCATTAAAAATGCGCATATGTTGCTTATTACATTTGTAAACCAAACATATCTGAACTTTTTCTTGTTAATATATGCAGAAAATTCCATACCCAATAACCAATAAAACTTCAGATAATGAGATTCATGATTGTTTACTATGCATTTATTTAAATATTTATGGTACGTAATACATCAAAGGCACAGTTGTTATTTTTTATATATAGATTTGTAGATAATAAATTACACCAAACACGCCTTCTTCCACTAGAATAGATGCACAACGACAGAAGACAAAAGGAAGAGAGATATGCAGAGCAAACCTAACTCTAGAGAATTAAATGACCCATCGTAAAGGAAACATTTACAATAGAAGCTTTATTTTCTTCTTGGACTACCGCTTAAGATTCTGGAATTAGTTTAAAACTGAATAGAAAATAAAATCCTCTGTATGTATAGGTATATGCACGATTGTGTATACAGAAACAAACACATCAAAAAACAGATGGATAATAAAAGATTTTGGTGCAGCAACCAGGTTCTTTGAGTAACGTAGAATGGAGTTTTCAACTCAAAGGAAGGATTTACTTGATATCTAAGATATTTCACTTACAAGTGAAAATTACATTTTTGAATCATCCGTTACCTTTTTCCTAAATTTGCTTTTAAATTACGACGCGTGCCAAGGTGCAAAGATAAGTGCTTTTAACAATATTCCCTCTTTCTCTTTCTCACTCCTGAGAGTATCCATTTAAGACCAGTTAAGAGTTATTGCATTACGATAATTTACAAACTCTACCTCTTTCTATCTTTTTGTCGCTTTCTATCCCTCTGTATCTGTTACAAATAATATACACAACTAGGATAGATATATGTATAATGATAAAACTGGATAAAGAACAAATTTTTTTAAATTAATGCGTTTCCCTTTTGCCTCTGACTTTCATTCGTATTATTGATTTTTAGAGATTGCCAACAGCGGGAAGAATCACACAGATTTTACAAAAATATTCAAAGAGAATTTTAATATCGAGATATGGAAACTGAAAAATCTCACTCTTTGATTAGGATATTATATTGAGTGCAAGTATTTTTAGAGTGTGTATTTTTTTTTTTTAATAAGCGGTACATTATATATATATATATATATATATATATATATATATACATATGTCCTTTCTTCGAAATCTTTTTCAGTGCAACATCGCAATTCTTCGGTTAAGCAAACATATAAACTGAAGTGAAAACGAATTTACATAAGCATACGTCAACTATTTTTGATGGTCATTACATATCCTGTGGATGACCCACAAATTATTTAAAAATCAGTATAGGGCATACAGGGTAAAGAAAGTTGTGCTTCAGCACTCTCAACGGAAGTCCGATATTGATTAGTTAAGACACTTTTTGAAACGTTATATTTACTCCAACCGCAAGCTGAATTGTTGTAAGTAGGTGCGTATAATATATGGCTGTCGTTGCGACGACTATTTGTTAAGTTATGTTGTCCCAGAGTTGATTTTGGGTAACGAAAATTGCGCTGATGTAGGATGTCACATGCACCCAGTAGAGGTTTGGGCAAATTGATGGCATTAGCAGGTGATATTTTCGATATGTTGGGTTCTATTTGCAAAAAGCGCTTGTCAGAATACACGTCACGAGGTTCGGATGAAGCATGTCCGAATTTAGCTAATTTAGCCTGAGGTAATTGTGATGGATTAAAATTGACCTGTGTAGTATTTTGGCCAGTTTCTTGCGTTGGAATCGTAGAACGGTTCGACAGTTGGCTAACCTCGTTCACTCTGATGGAACTAATGTGACGAGAATTTTTCGACCCGAGGAGATCGGGTTGTGAGTTTTTTAAGGTAGAAGTGGAAACTATAGCTGACGTCTGTCGTTGAATTTGTTTTGGGCGTCCATTGTCCAAATCGTAAGATTGGTATTTTTTGTTTGGAAAGATCATTTGAACTCGACTAGTACAAGACGAAAAACTGGGCGGCGCGGCATAGCTTTGTAATGGTATCTTCTTTGGCACGTACAAATCTGGAATTAAGCACAGAGAAATTCATATACTTAAAGCTTATTGAGTACTCAAGGAAGGTGTGTTTTCTCCATACTTTATCAAACTGTTGATCATATATGAACGCAAAAGTGCGTATTTAATTTGAAAATTGCGTAAATGTCCCAAACGTAGATTACATATATCAAAAATGTGAAATTTTGTTGCTAACTTTAAGACAATTTCGCGTATCACTTACTATAGTTTAATGTGGTACATGTCTATTTTCCAATATTGAGATATTAAAGATATGCTTAATAATTAATGTAATAAGCCTGTTAAACGTGGAAAAATTAATAAAACGGGACGAAATGAGAGGGCACATTTCATCTCCAAGTTTCGTTAATTCATTAATAACAAATTATGTTAACATTCTATTTGGATTCTACATATTTAGAATTGATTCTTCAAGGTGAAAGATACACAAAATAAAATTGCAAAGTACAAGAATAGTTGAGTTTGTCAAATACTGACCACACGAATACTTCGCCTATGTTCTTAAAAGAATGTAATATTAAAAACACCTTTTGAAGAGGTATGGCTCACTTGATACCACTTTCAAAATTAATATGTTCACGATAACATTTTGCAGGGAAAACTGTTTTAGTTAAGGAAATAGTGCTCCGGCAAATCTTCATTTGCAGATATATACAGAATGTGTAAAACTATATTTTCATATAATATATAGTGGCTCGTATATAGCTCAAAAGAGCATCATTTCATAAAAAATAAGTTCCAATTTACGGTTAAATCTTGCCTTGATAATTTTCTCTTTGTGATTGCGAAAATTGTTGAATAGGAATTGGATTCTTTGCTGGTTGGTTTGTAGGACTATTTGCTGGGTTTGAAGATCTTTGCTCGTCCTTGTTTAATGGCTTAGTTCCTGCTAAACAGTTTTTTTCGAAGTTGCTAATCAAATCACGTACCAGAAGTTTCACATAATTTATTTGCTCTTCAGCTTCTTCGAATGTTCTTTCTATTTGTTTTGACTCCTGATCTCGTCTATTGTCACTCATGGCAATATCCGAAAAACTAAATTCTTTTTGCATTCGATCTAACAAATCCTTTTGCTCACATTTTTTTCGAAAATTTTTATGATGTAAATGTGGTTCAGCCATTTGCGTTTGAATTCCTTCGAGTTGCAATTGCTTTTGAACGGTTGTTTCTTCCGCTTGTTTCGGTTTTGAATCACTTTGATCTTTCATTTCCTTATCAATTGTGTCACCTATAAAGAGACTTCTTTTGCACACCAGAGTACCTGGAATTTCTGATTTATTAAACTCATGAGAATGATGGAGCCGACGCAAATTTTCATAATTATTCATATTGCAGATGCTGCTGCCCCTGTCGTTTGTATTCATTTTCACACCACTTATTAAATCGGTTATTTCCTTTTCATCCATGCTATTTAAATCGTCACAAATTTGAATTACATTTGCTGCCAACTTATGGTTATTTGTGCAACGCTGATCAGACCTTACTGTTTTATTATCGCAATAATTTATGAAGCAAAGCATATACGAAACAAACGCGTAAAGCAACATATATGAAATGATAACATGTAATAAAAACAAAACGCAATTTTAGTAAACGTGTTATATTAAGAAAAGCCTAATTGGGCAAACACATTTCATTGTTGTACTTACTTTGTGGCAAGTTTATGCTGGGCGTTTTCCAACCTTGTGGTATGCACGGTTTGTAAGCTAAATCTCTTTGAATGTCACTTGTTGATGAATTGGATGTCACCCCGTGTAAAATCTATATTTTTGTACAAAAAAAAATATTTTAACGAAAAAGTGGTTAACAATGGTAAATAATGTGAGAAATAGAGTATCAACTTTTAGTGTTGAGTGTTTCTTTACCAACCGACTACAAATACGTAAAGTCCTTATATTTTGTCTATTAGCAACCCGTGACCAGCTGCGGACTGTAACGTTTTTGCATCAGCATAAACCTATATAAAAACGTAACAGGGTATCTTTATACCTTACATCTATTGGATTTGCTCTGTATCCTTATTTTTACTATACTGTCAAAAGATATACATACATATACATGAAAATATTTCTATAAAATCACCGAAAAAGTGATTATGTGTTGTTGCTTAAAGTCCTTGTAGTGAAACATCTATTATTTCCTCTATCGATAATAATTTAACCGCGATATAATTATGTCATAACTAAACCTATACTAATCTTTACAACAAAAATATAATTTCATGTTATGCGGTACTAGCCGTTTCTTTTTCCTTGCTATAAGTTGCAATGCAACACCCTCCTCTCAATCTTAAGCAGAAAATTACTTTGGTGTCTTTCGTCTACCACCTTCCAACCGTGTAACTAGAAATAAATGAAAGAAAATATCCTGATCAAATCAGATTATGTCACATACAGCCTGAAAGATGAGATTTAGTTGTGATATAAAAACGTGGAGGCAAAGATGTTGTAGGTACAATCAGTTTACATTGGTTGCATGGAGCTAACATAGTCATTATGAAGATTGATCACTACTTTTTCCGTTTTGAGAGTGGGAAAGCGGATCCGTGCACTTAAAATGTTCGGCCACGACTAAGTGAATTTTAAAATCGATAGCGGGTTGGCATGGAATGTGGAAGTAATCTCCCCTTTGGACAACCCCGCGCAATTTCCTTGCCTAGGCCGAACAAGCACTTCTCTGTCTCCCTCTCGATTTCTATTGAGATAATCCAACCGAAAGTTCTGTACGGAGCTCGAATTGACTTCCGCGCAAATTCAAATTGATGCACTGCTGAATCACTTTTTATGTTTCTTTTTCAAGCGCTGGTGGTGGCGATAAAATTCACGGTCGCTCCTAACCTTTTCAGGCACTTCGCTATTGCTGTGCCTATCTTCTATTAGAAGGTAAAGTAATTTTTCCAAAGACATTGCGTGGTATATAAACAAATAGGAGTAACCTTCCACATTTCTTTTGGCATTTCATAGTCTATACGTGGGCATCTCGCTAATTGTTCAGAGGTCGCGACCCAACCTCACGTTCTCCCAGGATCTATATGTTAGAAAGGAAGCAATAATTCATTAATATTTCCAGCCTCCAATCGGTTTTCAATTATAAGATCATCGCTGATCTTCAAGAACCTTTCATTTTGGTTATCCCGGTTTCAAGAGACAAAGGCTATTTAATCAGATTTCTTATCTCTGAGAAGTATGTTTTTGTATTAAAGTAGGCAACTCTGAATTGGGTAATACTTTCGCAATTGGATTGTCGTTCTAAAACTGCCCCTTGCGGCTACGGTCAACTGTTTGTTTTTTATAATTAATAAACTCTGATTCCCGTGAAATTTACAATATGACACCTCCAAAGGGGAAAATCACATATTGGAGTGTGTGGGTCATCAGGCATTGTTTTCAGCTTCTTACTAAATTTAGCTAGAAACAGCCCCTGTACGGCCCCACATGCTGGCAAGTGTAGCGGCGACAAACAAGTGTTTTATAGTGACAGCCGAATGGCTGCCGGTAGAAAAGAGTCCGAAAATTTCCTTTGACCTTGTCCGCAGAAGTAGTAGCTTCCAAAGCAATACAAAGCCCTTGCTAAGTTCATATATTCGTTTTTCAGATGTCCTTTAATAATTACGGTTTCTATTGTACTGAATGAATACGGTTTTGATATCATCGTACGCCCAGCAGGTAGACCTTGCTGCTTATAATGCGTGTGGCCTTCGTGCAAAAATATTGTCTGTGAAACATATTTCCATAGGCTCTACAGATTATTTCGTACATTCTGCAATTCTTAACAATGGGATCACAATTCTAGCAGTCAAAAGGTCCTGCTTTCTCACAGACGCGTCGCAATCCGAGGTACAACAACTTGACGTGCGCCTAAACAACATGCAAAATCACTGGCTTTGTCGCTGCTCTGAACAATAACATTGGTGAGCTTTCAGAAGTTTCTATGGTTAGACACAAAACGGACAGCAACTTCTCCTCCTCTTTTGGCGGGATAAAACACGTGGTAGGGCTAAAAATAGCACTTCGAAAATTTTAATATTTGAAAACCATTTCCGTATAAATGATACAGGTCCAGGAGAAAAGTTCACCGGTACTATAAAATAGAAACTGGAAGGATTTCATATTCAAGGTTTTAAACAGCCGAGCTTCAAAGATTATAAAATTTTTGTTTTGCTTTCTTTATGCATGCAAATTGAAAAAATTAACAATTTAAGTATATTCTGATCGAATACTAAACACTATATACGATCTTATTTGTTACCCCCCTGTAAACGCCTTAAGTCACTTGCTTCCTAAATTACTATTTGCTGTTGGCATGTAAACGCATAGATATGCTTTAAAACTAATATAATCGGTTTTTCATGCTTTATTTCGAAAGAAGAGGACATACCTGTGGGTAAATTTTAGACAGTGTTATAAAATCTTCTTTTTCTGTTAGACAGAATTCTCGATGAATTGGAGGGGGCAAATTCGAAATGGACCTTGAATTCGAAAATTCCATTTTATTAGTTTGTTTTTTCAAAATAATCGAATCGGACGTTAAAGCAGTTTCATCCAATTTTTCCGCAGCATTCAAACCGCTCTGTTCCAACAACTGGTTCTGCTGTACATTTGATTGCTTTCGATCTTTAGCTTTGTACGCTGGCAACATGTTAGGTGAGCTTGCATGTTGGGATTGCTGTTGCTGTTCGTAGTAATCTAAAAGATCGGAAGGTCTTTGAGCGCCTACATTCGTCTCATCAACTACCCATTTTTCAGCAACTTTACGACGCTTAGCAAAAAGCTCCGCGCCTAATCGAAAAGATGTTTTTGCAATTTATGGAAAAATGGGATAGAAAAACAAATAAAAAATTAATAACGAAAATTTTTCATATATTATTTATTTATGGATATAGGCAACTCTGCACGTTTCTTTTTTCCGTGCAGAGAATTTTTGAAACATTTAAACAAATAAATAAGGGAAGGAAAAATTTTTTTTTTCTTTCATAAACTTTCTCTTCTGAAAACTATTGAACTAGTGGAAAACATGAAGTTGCGGCATTTAAACAAAATCAACAAAAATTTCGACATCTTTGTGCTTGTCCACAGGGTGCGCAGCACCACCTGCCGACAAGACTTACTTCGTCATCTCACCAGTACATAGGACATCAAGTGGCGGCGATTGATGTGAAATTCTTAAACCTGTTTAACTTAGAAGGCCTTTTGTCGTGGTTGTTCCTGTCGGTTTCACCACCTGCTGATTTTCATATCCCTTCTGTTTCCCAGTAAGTCAGTTGAACCTTTTCTTTTGCCTATAATATAGCACGAAACTTAAATCTAATCCGCCCCTCAAGGGGTTGAGGCTCTCAAGCATGTTATCAAACGATAATGACTTCGAAAATTTTGTTCGAACCATACACAGCAAGGGTTCATTTAAAAGAAAAATCGCAAAGTAGAATGAAAAGATCATCACTAATGAGAATTCATCCGTAAAAGACTTAACTGATGATTTCAGTACCACCTCCCTAAAGTCTCCGATCGCTCCCTCTAAATACAAGCCTATTATGACTCCCAATAAAGACAGTTTTGAGAATAGCAATAATAATCGCAGTCCCATAGAAGAAAAGTAACAAGTTGAAATTTATAGTGATGACGTGACCGTTGAGTGCTACGTCTTCATTGAAGCATGTAACAATAACACCAAAGCCTTTTCACCTTAAATCAGACTTGTTTTTTTTCGAACATATCGAATATCTTAAATTGGATGGTTTGATTAATATCAAAACCATCAGCAATGGCAAAGCCAAACTTGGTTTTGCCACTGCGGTTGATGCCAACAACTTTATAATAGATAATGATTTGGGTCCAAAGTCCCGCAAGATCTACATCCCTATTTTCACAGAAAAATTCGCGATGGTAATAAACATTCGACCCTCAATTAAGGAAGAAGACACTCTTAACTCAGCTACCTCTGATATTGAAATGATTTCCATAACAAGAATCCACAAAAGGGACTCTGCAAACAAAGAAATTTTCATCCCAGCAAACAGCCTAAAGATTAGTTTTAAGGGAAAACTAATTCCCAAAAGTATAAATTTCAACTTTGCAATATTCCAGTAGTTACTTCATTCCTTCCGTTAAACTATGTTATAATTGCGGTCGATTTGGCCACATCGCCAAATTGTGTAAAAGCATGGAAAGCAGATGCCTGAATTGTGGCAAGACACCGGCCTGTCCTACGAATTCATGCTTTTCACTCAAATGTTTATGTTGTGGGTCTTTGGACCATAATGTAACCTTTCGAGAGTTTCCAAAAAGAAAAAAAAGAGGAAAATTTAAAAAAATTGCTCAAAACATATCTTTTAGAGAATACAAAGAAAAATTCTCTGACAACCCTTACAATTTACTTGCTAACTACGATGTAAACTTCCCAGTAATGATGGATAGCACTGCATCCAACAGCATCAGAGACCCTACTACTGAAACAAATAATATTTTAGTTAAAAAAAATTTCAATACGGTTGTAAAAAATAAAAGAGGTATTGCCAAACACTAGCAAAGAATGTCTCTCAAGACGCCCTCGACTTACAGAAGAAAGTCACAGGAGCCGAAAAAACCTCCCCTACCTCCTGAAAAGCATATTCACATCAATTACCATAAATTCACTGGAATGGAGATAATACTGGAAAAAGTTTTCAAAATTCTCTCCATCTCTTCTAAGGAAGAAATGCTTAAAACCATCCAAGCAAAAATAGTTTCCCTTAAATCAAAATTTGACCTTTTAAAACAAGGTACATTTGAGGCGGCCCTATCATGGTCTAGCATTTCTCATGACCACTTTCTTACAATATAACATACAATGTTTCAGGCGCAATGACTTTTCGCTGGATTACTTCATCAATTCCAGTCGAACTGATTTCGTCATTTTGAGTGAAATCTTCCTATCCGACGAAACCATTTCCGATCTTAAAATCCCAAATTACAACTCCGCTTACAAATACAGAAGTGATGGTTATGGGGGTGTAGCTATCTTTGTTAGGAAAGGCATCTCCTTCAAACAAATTCGCTTCAAATCAGCTGCTGAAATTGTAATTGTCAAAACTTCTTCCCTAAAACCGAACATAGTCATTGCCGCTTGCGATTTCAAACGTAATACTCCCATCCAATCTTTCCGGGATGATATCCATCGCCTCCGTGATACGCTTGATAGCTAATTATTGCAGGAGATTTTAACGCAAGACACCCTTAATTTCTACTGTCTTAACGATAATACCCCAACCTACGTGCACTCTACGACACCCAATGGTTGTGGCAGTGTTTTAGATCTTATCTTCACTAACTCAACTAATTTTACGTTTAAACGGGAAGTCAAGAAAGAAATTTATCTTGGAAACAGTCACCTATCCTATTTTCTTTAGCGCATTTCTGTTTCTTCAATTAAGATAAATGGTTTTGACTCGCGGAAAAAACTCTTAAAGAATCTTATGCACACAAGTCTTGAGCCTTATGTTGAGCCCATCCAGAGCTCATTTCAACGCGAAATTAATAACGTCAAATCAAACATCAAATCTCCGATTCTTACTCTCCAAACCTTGATGGAATGATTCGCTCACTACGCTCTTCCGCAAACTACAAGCAGCAAACCCAAATTTTTCTAAATACCCTAACATCTCTAACTTTGATGATTTCAAGTTATTACAAAAAGAATGAAAAAAAATAGTCAGAAAAGCCAAGAGAAGTCACCGTGCCCAAGTAGTCGAAGAGCTTTGCACAAATGGCAACACAAAACGTTTCTAGAAATTTCTGAATGGACATCGCACTACCGAAAGAAAATACAAACACCCCATTAGGGATGATCATAATGAGAAGCCATACCTAGAATGGTTGAAAGCCCTGGTTCCCACAACAAATGCTCTCCTAGTTCTCTCATTTGACTCTCAGGTAGATAATATCTCTTCATTTTCACTGGATGAACTTAGCACGTCCTTAAATTGAAAAAGAAATCATCAGCAGCGGGTCATGACGGCATTATATGCGAAATGGTAAAGGTCCTTCCCGTTTCAAGCCTTCTAGTTCTGCTATCTGCAATAAATGCTCGCTGGATGACCATCTCTTTTCCTACAGTTTGGCGCACAAATAAAATTGCACCTATTCGAAAAACTGGATCTTGAAAGCTTCATAAATTTCAGACCTATATCCCTCCTGCCCGTTATTTTAAAAATTATAAACCAAATGATCAAAGAAAGACTCACTAATTTTCTGCACAATTTACACCTGCTTCCCTCTAGGTCCTTTGCCTATCAGAAACACATTTCCACCGGTATGTGTCTTAACGAAGTTCTTTTCACTATTGCAAGTGAGAAAGGAAATGGAAACCAGGTAGTCATGCTTTGTTTAAACATCAATAAAGCTTATGAATGTGTCGATCTAGGGAACCTAGATCAAATTCTAACTAAGTTTAAAATCCCTTCACAATGTAGACAGTGGATTCTTAACTTCCTTTCCTCGCGAACTCTCGTGTTGGGATTAAATTCAGTTGAAGTCGGTGGAGGTCTACCTCAAGGCAGCTGCCTGAGTCCATTACTTTTCAATTTGTATACAGCCGGTTTACATCGATTACAGGACAACACAACCCATTTATTTCAATAAGCTGACGATTTCCTAGTTATTTTTGCCGGAAAATCGCTGACAAAAGCAGTCTATAACCTTAACATTAAATCCAATCTTTTTCACCGATATTGTGCGGATTGAAATTTACTTTTCAACCCGGAAAAATCAAAAGTCATGCGCTTTGCTAAGGGTCCTAAAGAAATCTTCTACATCACAGTTAACGGCACAAAAATCAAACAATCCTCCTCTATCAAATTTTTAGGCAGAATAATCAGCTCAAGTTTGACCATTCATGATCATTACTGAGACAGCGTCGAAAGTTGCTCCACAAGTTCAAATGTTATTAAACTTTTAACCAATATACACAATGGACGACCACCTAAGAAAGCTTTAAATATTTATAAATGTATTTTTCGATCCAATTCGAATATTCATACTCCACATCGTGCAACGCTCCTGCGTATACAATTAAAAAAATTCAAACCTTTCAACACTCAATTCTAAGACGCTGTACTGGTTTGTCCCCCTCGACACCAATATCAATCTTACGTAACATTTCATATGAACTCCCTGTTGCAAAGAGAATGTTTCTTTTAACTGCAAAAGAACTTCTCAAGTAAAAATCTTTAAATCTGCTTTTTTTGAAAAAGTTGTCTCCAAACAGAATGTTAGTAGTTACTCGATCTGTTACAAAAAATTCAGTACCATCTTCAATAAAGTTATCTCAATACCCTCTTAGTATTATCCATGATAAGTGCGTATTGGATTTAAACATACTTAATCCGATCACCAATTTCAAAAAAAATCGGTCAAAGTTTTGTCTTCGAACTGCATGTCTGCAAAAACTTAATTACTTTATCAAAAGGAACTTCAAAATATACGCAACTGTCTATTTGGACATTTCCAGTTTCTCAATTATAGAAAATTCAAATTTACTCTTAGGAAAACTCAAAGTTCTCCAAGAACTTTCATCCACTTTCATTGAACTTTTGGCCATCAGACAGGCAATCCTCTTTGCAATTGAGAATAAACTGAAAAAATTTGTAGTTTTCTCTGACAGCAAATCGGCTCTGACTTTAATCAAGAGCAAAGACCCATACCATATGTACGTCTTCGATATTTATAACCTTTTAAAAGATCCAAGCATTGAAAAATGCCACATCATCTGGATCCCAGGTCACAGCGGTTTTAGGATCAATGAAAAAGCTGACTTCCATGCACGTGAAGCTCGGTTTTGTCCATAAACTACCCTCCCAGCGAAGCTCTCCTGTTAATCAAAAAACTTGTCGTAAAAGCACGAGTATATCTTTTAGCTAGAGAAAAAAGTGACCGGCTTTTCTACAAAATTTACCCTTTTTTAACACCCATGCTTCTGCCTAAAGGTAAATTTACAACATGGGAATTTATAGTTCTTCACAGACTTTTGAGTAATAACACCTATGACAAGGTATATTTTAAAATGATCAATGTCTCCTCCATTGATATTTGTGAAGAATTTAATATTACTGAGTCTGCCGAGTATCTTCTTTTTGAGTGCAAGAGGTTTGATATCCTTAGACAGTCTTTCAGTGTATTTAGCTTGTATAATAATTTTGAGCCGATAGCCTGTGTTGCTAGTGCTCAATGTCACTTTTTTTAGTCTAAGAATTCAATTCATTAGTCTAAAATTAAAATAATAATAATAATAATAATTTATCTGGACTTTTTCGTCCTAGAAACTTTAGACATTTGACGCAACTGACTGCCTTTATCAAATCAGCTGATTTTTCTTTCTAATAATGCATTCATAATTTCTTTTACGAACACGGATCGTCTATACTTTTTTGTTTCTTTTGTCGGCATTTCTAGCCGGAATTTTGACTGTACAGTACCTAGTACGGTGATTTATGGGTTGACAGCGGAACAAAGCTTGCATTGTTAACATTGTGTTACATCAGTCTCTACCAAAGCTCAAAATTATCATAATTGGCTGTCAACTACGTTACTGGATCATGGATCTAATTTTCACGTAACTGGTCCAATCCATTTCCCAACAAAGCAAAAAAAAAAAAAAAGATATATATGTATATGTTATTTATACACTAAAAGGACTGTGTTGTAGGGGGTTTTTATTCCAGTTGTCACCCTATTTATGCCAAACCATATTAGGTGGATTCATCAGGAATGCGCTATTGATTTGTAAGCTTTTAAGCACTGAGGTATAATTAAGAGAAAGAAGGACAAGTACCAATGTGATTATAATTATATATGAATCCAAGAAAACATTATCTAAACGAGCGTCGCACATATTGGAAAACTATCCCATACATATTCATACATACATGTCCACAATAGATACAGCATTAATTTACACATTTCCATGCTCATGTAAAAAATTTTTCATTTTGCGTCATTGTCGTAACGTCTTTGTTTGGTTAAATATTGCCCCGCTAAAACCAAGGGTTAAAATTGAGATAGATGAAGATGCCCGTCTTGAATTTCATGTTAGTGTTCTAATTGCGATGGGGGCACCACTTCTTGGCAACTCAAGTGATATGTGGCATTTGAAGCCTATTTATGTTACCTTTATCTTTGTAGCCTCGTAGGGCGGTGAGAAGTTCTGCACAATTATTAGGAGACAATAGACCTGCGTCAGTGTTAAAAGCCTCATGTACTGTACACGAATTAAAATCTCTCATCCGACCTCGTGGATTCATTAGTAGACGTAGAGGTAGTTTAGTGTTTCTAAGGTATATGCCTTCATTTTCTTTAGTTTCCCTCTTGTAATTTTCTGCTTCGAGCTGGGTAGGATTTCCATCTGAAAACGAAAATCGGTTAATAGGAATGAAGAAATTAATTTTGTCGATCGAATGATTTGTCTGATTTGACTTATTGCGTTCAACCTTAATACTTCATTCGGGTAAATGTTTATCGGAACAAATGAATTAACTATGCTTAGGCTTCTTTGAGCGCTTGTGTGAAGATTCGCTGAACAACTACCGGGAGTTTTTCAGCCAAATTCTTCATATCAAAAATTTAAAGCAAACTATTTATTCAATGAATTTTTTCATTACAATAAACACGAGACTCTGAAAAGTATGATTAGCGATGATGAATAAATAGTGCTTAAGCTTTGCGCAATTGCTCAACCCAGTGCTACCAACAAAAAGAGTGTATTTAATAAAGTAATTCAAGATATTTTCTGGGTTATCGTTCTTAGAAGAAAGTTCGATGAACGTTTTGGTAACTTATCAATCGAGAATAGTGGCAGTTCACGGATAAACTTAAAGAAAAATTATTCTGATAATTTTAGTTTCGTCGAATTTAACCATTACATTTTGAAAACCAACCAAAACTTCTCAGAAAAGTCATTATATTTTATATATCCGTCTGAGTACCCGAAGACGAAGAATCTCGACTAGCAAGTCAATGGTCGTGGGTTCGAATCTCAAGTACGGTAGAGTTTTGAATAAAAGCCGATAGCCTTAGCTGCTAGTGCTTTTAAGAGTTTAGTCTTACAGTTTATTTCTCTGGCGAAATTAATAATAATAATAATAATAATTTTATATAATGTCGAGTTGGACGATAAGTCTGCAAACAGGTGAAAAATTCGTGGTGTTTGTGGTGAAGACTTTTTCGGAGGAATATCAAAATGGTTTGCTCTTTTTACTTTTGAAAATTTCAATGCAAAAACGTCGCGCTGCTAGCCGTTCGATCCCAAATATTAGTTTAGGGAAAAAGAAATCCATTATTTTTATATGAACTTCAGGATTTTATTTAACATGCTTCGGATTGTCCGATTTGGGTCAAATATGCACCGTTTTGTTGTACGATTTGTTGCCATTTTAAAGGTAACTTCAAAATGCCTCTCTCATAGAAGTCCTGGTCTCTATTTGCAAAAAACTCTAGTAGTCGATTTTCACAATCCTCCCTAGATTCCAAATTTTTATCATTAAAGAAATTTTGCAATGCAAGAAAAAGATGATAATCGCTTGGTGCCAAGTCCGGACTGTATGGCGGATGCATTAAAACTTCCCAACCAAGCTCCCGAAGTTTCTGGCGAGTCACTGTAGATGTGTGTGGCCTAGCGTTGTCCTGGTGGAACACGACACCTCTCCTGTTGGTCAATTCTGGCCGTTTCTGGTCAATCGCTATCTTCAAACGGTCCACTTGTTGACAGTAGAGATCAGAATTTAGCGTTTGGCCATATGAAAGCAACTCATAATAAATAATCCCCTTCCAGTCCCACCAAATGCATAGCAAATCCTTCCTGGCCGTTTGAGGTGCTTCACCGCTCTTTGACCACGATCGTTTTCGCACAGGGTTACCGTATGTGATCCATTTCTCATCCCCAGTCACCATCCGTTTAAGAAATGGGTCTATCTCATTCCGTTTGGCCAAGGCTTCGCAGATAGAAATTCGATCCATCATGTTTTTTTCTGTTAATTGGTGTGGCACCCAAACATCGACCTCCTTTTTGAATCCAGCTTTGTGTAAATGGTTTAAAACTGTTTTATGGTCGATTTTTAGCTCCTGGGCGATGTGACGACTGCTAACATGCCGGTCAACTTCGATCTTTTCTCCGATTTTATCGACATTTTCGACGACCGGCCTACCTGCGCGAGGTGCATCTTTAACATCAAAAATTCCTGAACGGAATCTACGAAACCAAAATTGCACATAATTGGCTGTTACAGTATCGGAACCATAAACACCATTCACAATTTTAGCCGCCTGGCTTGCATTTTCGCCTTTGTCAAAGAAAAACTGTAAAATGTACCGAATTTCCTCTTTGTTCACTTTCATTTTTAACACGCTGTAACTCACAACTGAATGCACCAAACAAAAAACAGCAAAAGAATTTTTTTACTGCGAAATGTCACCTTTCCAATGACCATAAATATGAAATTGTTTGATCGATACTTTACGAGAAATCTATCAGTGCAGCCATCTACCGAAAAAATAATGGATTTCTTTTTCCCCAAACTAATATGTCGCCGCAATTGTTCGAAAAATGGAGAAATATTGAAATATTTTCTGTTGTGACATCTCTGCTGAACTAACAAAACCAAAAAACAATTCTGAACCTCTTCTAGAACCAGTAATATAAAACAGAATATAAAAGGAATCTCAATATCTGTGCCGGTCAATATGAATAGAGCTGCGTAAGGGCCAGTTTGAAGCCAAGTAAAGTAATATGCTTTGTATGGTGGGATTGGACAAGAATCATTCATAACGAACTATTGTATTCTTCTTCTATTCTCATCTCCCAAGAGTTAACGTGATTGAGATAAAGCGTTTATTAAGAAAGATGTGAATGCGATCATGATAATGAACGACTACATTTAAATTCAATGATACGGGAAGGATAGAGAAAGCTTGGCTGGGAAGATTTGGATTTCTGTATAAGTATAAAGATGGTGGACAAGCTTAGTGTGAGAAAAAGCTATAATGGCGGGTTATATATGTAATTTCCACCAATCTTATGGGATACACCAAGGATTCAGACATGGAAAACGTAGGGAATTATTATTCATCCATAAAAAGTGAATTAATCACAACATAAACCAAATCTTTGTTATCATAATAGTATGATCTATACGTCTAATGACCCCTGCTCTTAAAACGATAAAAAATCATTGAAAACAGCATGGGCAACACATTTCCCTAATATTCCATAAAGTTTTATTATGTCATTCTTAAGTCTGTGCATGCACACATAATCACTAATTTACAAAATACTTATGCGTAGGTGTTATTCAACAGGCTTTGTAACATTGCAAGTATAACAACGGACACGAGGAAAGAAAGAAAGAAAAAAGCAAATATCATTGTTTTACTTGCTCAGCGGCAGTTATGCGCAGAGGTATAACAAAAATTAATAATACTAATCGTTTTCCGAACTAAGATGGTGATATAACCTCAATTTGTACTTGCATGACAGTCCTTCGTTCTAAAAAAGGACACTTCATTTTCTTGTAATATTAATGGCGGTCTATACGTACTTGACTAACAGCACTGCGGTCTAAGACGGCGTTTTCGCCTTTTACCATTGCCTACTTGGCAGAAGCACTTCCGCGATCGCTCTCCTGCCCGAAATGAAATCTTTGTTCCTTAACATTGCTGAGCACACTAGATCTTTGTTCTATATAAAATATTGGAAAATTAGCGATCATATGCATAGAATAAAACCACAAAAATTACAAATGAGTTTTAATCATCTGGGCTGTCAATGTGCTTACGTTTTTCCCTCCATGCAAGCTTGATGTGAAATTCTTTACCTTAAAATCACGTTAGAAATGAATTATATTTCCGTTAATAAGGGATCAGCTGGAAAACCGTGAAGAGAAAATACCGTTATCTATCTTATTTATCTATTTATAGTATAGGTATCATAAGCATAAACTGAAACAGAATGGGCTGGATGTTATTAATGACGATAATGCCGATGAAGATATTATTATCTTCGTAGGTATATGTAGAACAAAAGGAGTAATTTAAATTTCTTTACCTTTTATCCTCATTGCAATTAACGAATCATATTTTTATACACACTGATTTAAAGCACTTGGGTTTATTTTGTTAAAAAAATATATTATTAAAGAACTCAAAGTGGATCAGCTCAAATAGGAGCTGGGAAAAAGAAACCTTTGTACAGTCGGTAGCAAAGCTGAATTAAAACAAAGACTGGTTGAACATCTATAAAAATACGGACAGGACCCGTCCACTTTTGAATTTGAATATAATATCGAGGGAAGGGAGCAAGCCGACAACTTGGGAGGAACAGAACAAACAGCTGCAGGGGAAAAATACAGCGAAGAAAAAAGCGAAGACGGTAGCATATCAAACGCCGTTTTTATGCAGTTTATGCAGCAAATGCAACAACAAATGCAACAAGAAACACAACAGATAGAATGAAAAATTGATGAGAGAATTTAGGAAAATCAACGCATCCTGCGAACACTTATAGGTGAAACGTACCAGCCGGTAAAGTTAATGTGCTGGAAGAAAAAGTTAATAATGCGATAGGCCACTTGTATGCCAGAATAAATGTACAGGAAAAAGATGGAGACGCCGTGAAAAGTGAAATAAAAGCCTTAAAAAGAGAAATGGCTCAGCTACAAACTACCTTAAAAAAGCTGTACCGACGTCACCGAAAAGCATGTTTACGGATGTTTACGGAAACGCTTGGCTTTGTGCTTACACAAGAAGCAGCTAGTATGCTGTGGAAGTCAAACATGAGGATGAGACGCACGGAAGTTACCAGCGAGAACGATATCTCGGATGTGGTTTGCGCCACGCTTCTACAAGTCCTGCGCGAAAATAAGCGAATGCCGGTTTCAAAAATACGCAAATGACTGCCAAAAACCTGCTCATTTTGCACGAGAATGCCGATCTAAACACAAAAGAACACACTTCCTACACGGAATATTAGTGAAGAATGTCCGAAGAGGCAGAATAAGAACAAGAGACTAAAAGCAACCGTGTGTAGATGCTACAATTGCGACAAAGTTGGGCACATTCCTCGTGACTGTAAATTTCGAAGGAAGGACACGCCTTTGAGGTTGCCCATCAACAGTGAAGCAGGCGTACAGCATAAATGCCACTTAAAGGATTTAAATCGAGGAAATTGCCGGATGACTGAGGCATGGAGAGAAGACCGTAAGTGGCAGAATGAAAGTTAGATACGATCTGCGTGCTAACGCCCATGGATTTAAGGAAGGGAATTTAGTGTTATTGTACAATTCATTACGCGAAAAAGGTATGTGCGATGGAACTGGCATCGATTAGCGGGAAAACCAGACAGGGATTGAATATAAAAACTATGAATTTGGGCATAGTAACATGCTTGTAAAAATGTATGTAAATAGAATATTTGTGGAAGGGGGAGTTAGTCGGGCAAGAACATTTGAGTTGAAAGTACGACCAAAATAAATTGTGAATAATTCTACATTTAAGAAATATAATTCACGGTCTGTTTTTGTTCGACATGATGTAAAAAGAACACCCAATATCAAAAGGTAATAGGCAAGATAGAGATTGTAATAAAAACAAAAATGCAAGAAAGTTTGTCACGTACACAAAAAATGATCACTCAAATTAGACGTAAAGCTCATACTATTAAGGACGCAGTAAGTAAGGAGCAAGCTAAGAGATAAACTGTAAACAAGCACAAAAGACAAGAAAGAGGGAGACTTATTAGGGAGACCTAGTGCAGAAACCAAATTAAATATCGCGATAATAAGTTCAATATAATTCAATCAATTTAATCAATTTAAACACTTATACTTTGAGAATTAATTACGTTTCTAATTATCGTGGTATGCTCTTGACTCTCTGGTTCACCTTGACACACGGCATGTAAAATCCAGCTGACTCTTGAATTCCTACCTAAGGCTAGGTGAAAACAACTTTTTAAGTAAAATAATGGCAAAACCAACGCAGGCTTATCCCATTGTAGAGTGAAACGTACACTGTTTATATTTTCAAGGTATAAAAAATATTTCGTCTCACAACAGCTGTCCTATCGTATATAACAACCGTGAACTCCATAGAGATATGCTATTTTCAAAGTTGGAGAAAATTATGTGTGAAAAATTCATGCAATATATAAACAAATTATGTTTCCAATCAAGTTTTCTACCTGTACGCTTATCATAATAATAAAGATATGTTCGTGTTAAAACAAGAGCTTTGTTTATTGCTAGCACTAGCGTCAAGGGCCATCAGCTCACCCAAAGTAATATTGATGTGTTTTGTATATACCTGTGTGTGTTGGATTTATACTAACGGAAAAGAATTGCAATGCAATTAAGGGACCTTAGACTGTCGGTGCGTATGCAGAATTTAATGCTACGCTGTGAAACAAAAGTTACTGCATCGTAAATCCCTACCGCTTCAACGATAAACACGGAACAATAATCGTTTAAAAGACCACCTATTATTTCGTTAATACCTTTAACATCTTTACCACAACAATCTTTAATAGGGAACAGCATTATCCATTTTAGATGCGTCGGCGTATGACATATCCATCCAGCTAATTAACGGCGCGTAAATCTTTAAAGGTTTCCGATAGATAAAGGTTAAGTTTCTATCATGGTAAACTTGAATAGCGTTGAAGAAATGAAATGCTACCAAGATTTTCTTTCTTGACAAAATAATCGCAAAAGATTGTAGTGGATTAAATTTTTCGGATGGTTTTCCTTTTTATTTGTGATATCCTTTTCCTTTACTCTTTGTGATATCTGCAAGCAATAAACGATTATTGCTGTAAAAGACTTTGGAGAACGGTTGTAGCTTACCAAATTGAAAATGTTGAGGTAGAACTGGGTGCACCGAGTTTTTTTAAATATTTTAAATAGGCGTAGTCGAAAACGCATGAAGAATTTTATGAATAGCTGGACCGTTTAAAGGCTCAATATAACTTTTGACAGATTTTCCTTAAATTTTCAAACAATAGTCAATTAGAAATAGAATCCATGATCGAATAGCTCTAAATAGTGAGGATGGATGTACGAAGTATCGTAAAAAGCAAAGTATTGCTTAGACGAGACAAATTTAGTGATGAAAAGGCTTAGATTTTTTCATTATTTAATCAGCGAGAAAAGGACATGGACCTTTGGAATTGTTCTCTTCGTCCACTTAATTGATAAAGACATTGTTAAAGAAAAAGCATGGAAGGACATATTTGCGTTTCCGGGATAAGTGAAGTAATCCGCATTTATCCAGAGAAATTGCTGAAATTTGACAGAATATTTGTAAAAATTTTTCATATCATAATCTGCATAAATGCAATGATCAGCTTCGTTGTAGCTAGATATTACTCGGCTAGCTTTATTTGAGACGATTTACTTTAACTTTATTTAGGATAAATTATGTACAGTGGAGATCCCTGTGGAATCCCATTACTTAATGGATAAATACGCGTTTGATTTTGATACAGAATTCTCCTTTAATAAGAAACCCGTATAAAATTTTAAATTTTAGGATTTACTTTCCAAATTGAAAATTTTTCCAATAAGTCATGGGATCGAATACGGCCAAAAGCTCGAAAATAAGCGCTAAAAAGTACATGGTTGCGGCATGATACCGCATTGCTAGCAAAATTATCGGAATGCAACAGGCAGTCAATACGCTGTCAGCACGCTGTCCTTTTTTAAAAGCACTTTGATTATGACGAATGAAAATGTTTTTTGGTAAAAACCAAGACGGTCTATTTGCAATGATTTTTTCAGAGAATCTCTCCTTGAATGAGAGCAAAGAAATTAGAAATTCTTACTGTTACAGCCGTTTTCCAATTTTATGAGCTATGAGCCGTTTTTAAACTATTACTGTAAAAATTTGCAATACGTTGTTCTAAAACTACAGGTGCGTTAGTAACCACAGAGTAGGATATTCATTGAAACCAGGCGACTTTTCCTGAATGGCCCACAGAGAAGATTTGTAGGAAAACAAGTAGGCGTTGGTTTTATTTTTTTTGGGATGTCAAGTTTTCTTTTTTATTGGGAACGTTTTTTTGATTATTCAACTTTTGGATTTTGTTGAGTTCAGTAAAAAATAAATAAAAAAAAAAAAAAAATTAATTTAAAAATTTTAATAATTAAAAAAAAGATATTCCCAAATAAAAAAAAAAAAAAAAATATTCCGTTGAAATATGTCATCCGTGAAGTAAAGACTTTTTTTTAAATAATCTAAAAAAAGAAGAAAATTGACAACCCAACGCGAGTGCACTAAATAATCCAGTTCGCTAATTATATTAATGTTGTGACCGGACTCCTGAGTCATTTGTACCCTTAAAGAAAGGACATTCCCATTACAAAAAAAAAAAAAAAAAAATTATTATTCAGTTGAAATATGTCATCCGTAAAGTAAAGACTTTTTTTTAGTAATCTAAAAAAGAAGAAATTTTCCAATCCAACGCGAGTGCATTAAATAATTCAGTTCGCTAATTATATTAATGACGTGACCGGACTCCTGAGTCATTTGTACCCTTGAAGAAAGGATATTCCCAATATAAAAAAAAGTATTGAGTTGAAGTATGTCATCCGTAAAGTAAAGACTTTTTTTTTAAGTTTAAAAAAAAAAAAATAAATAAACATTTCTTACGACACTTAAAGAAGAGCTAAAAATAACTAGAAGCAGATAATTTTAACCAATTGAAGATCGCTTGTTTGAAAAGAACCAAAAACACACAATGTGTGAAAATATGCACATGCAAGCCGGTCAATACGAAAATCAAATCGGTGGAAAATTTTGAGAGGCTATATCAGATGAGTATCGCATAGTCGCCACTGGCACGTATTACGGTGACAGTGATTTGCAACTGGTGTAGAAAATCAAAGAGCGGACGTGACAGCGGTTTCAAATTAGGTTAAACAAGTTGTATATTTTTTTTTCTCTAGGACGTCGAATGTACATTCGGCGTGACTAGGTGAGTTGTATTTTATATCATTAATATAGTTTATAATTCATAATTTTTACGACTGTTACACAATTGTCGACAATAGGTTAAGACATTTATAATAATTACACTATAATAAAATGTTTGTAAACTAATTATGTTGTTATGATACTGGCTGGCGAAGTAAGTGTACACATAACACACTCACATTCACTACACATCCACTTACATCTTATAAATTATAAAGATTCTATAGGGCAAAATCACTTTCATGAACCCCCCAATTTCGGCGAGCTAGTCAGATTTCGTTAAGAGCCCTTTGAGTTGCTTAGCATGCTACAGATTCAGATTCACATATGATAATTGGGGACTCAACGATTTTAGCTGGAAGAGGGTTGCGTAACAGTGGGCTGTTGTTAGAAATAAAATTTTTAGACTACATAAATGTAGTGAAAAAGTTAGGTTTATCTGTGTTCCTGGACCGTTGTCCAGCGAAAAAATTTGCTATATCAGATCGGCCCGTGATTGTTGGCATGTGTATATTGATTACATTAATGACCACGTCTGGATTTGGTGCTCAGATTCTCTTAATTTTGAACCATAATTTTTGCGGGGATGAAAGTGGGTTGATAAACATAATGAACTTTTCAAAACATTTTCTCTTAGAGACCTTGCGTTGTAAGTTCACAATAGAGTTTGCTCTTTTATAGGCTAGCATATTAGCAATTGACCTGTCTTTTCCACGGTGTCGCTTAGTTTTTGGAGGAAGAGAAAGTTCAATGTGCTGCAATTATGGTGGTTTTTCTCACTTTATTGGGGGATTGCGTAATATAATGTAGCCAATATAATATCATACATCCTAGCCATTTCATGGTTTCTATTCTGAGGAGCTGCGTATATGTTGTTATCATGAAGACAGTTATGACCAAATTTATGCCAAACAGCTTCGTTCTTCAAAACTGGTGAATGGATTATAAAGGAATAATGTAAGGTATTGGAGCTATTTTCGAGCCTACTGAACTTAATGATTATGGGGAAATGATCACTTTGGGAAAGCAGTTCTTTAACAATCTCGTTTTCGGAATTATTCCTGAAAGAAAGAGTGTATACCTTCGGACGGATTTAGTTAATTGTGCTATTTCGTGGCGATTTTACATATCGCGTGTAGCTCTTAAGCGTTTAAAAATTATTTGTCAAAACCGATATTCTTAACCAAAGATATCAAACTTTCATATCGGAACCCAGACATACTTGTAGTTTCTTCGCTTATAACCTTCAGAGACCTGTGAACTACAAAACAGGAAAATTGCGTAATCGGTTTTTCTTTATCAATAGAAGAGTTTACTATGTATTTCGGATTTTGTGCAGGAGGCGAAGTGAACTCATGAGGCGATGAATGATTCTTTTGTGTGAGGTTTTTTAATAAATAGGGTGATAATGGAAAAGGCAGAGAGGGAACGTTACAAAAATATAATATATTTACGTCCACGACTAGTTGTCAGCAGCCAAACAAACCTATTAACCCGATCAATAAAAGTAAGTTGGCGGTTTATCAACTTAGAAAGATTACGAACATAAATTATCTGCGGTAATTAGAGAGCTAAGTTTCTAAAGAAAATGGAAAATTTTAGCAGATGATCTTCTAGCGGATTAACTTCTAAAACAAGGAAAATCGGAAAAAGTTGACCGCATATCAACTCAAATCGATTTCAGATATGAAAAGAAAAAGTCAAGCTTACGGGTTATCGTTGACTTTTAAATTGACAGTTTATCGATGCGAGAACTTTTAGTTAATAAGTGAAAACCGAAATTTATTTAAATAAAAAAAGAAGAAGAATCTGAATAAAAAAATTATCAAATAATTGAAGAATCTAAAAGTGAAGAAAGATAATCCATACAATTAAACATCTCGGACTAAAAGGGAGTGAAGACTCTGACAAATATATCAAACCGAGAAAATACAACCTTAAATAATTAACGATATTATAATAAGTGAACACTAAAGGCAATAGTTAAAATTGTTTAGAAATGTTAAATATGAAGAAAAGTATGTATAATAATAATAGAAAATAGTAAATATATTCAATATAGTACAATGAGAAATGAATATGAACAAATATTATTAACATTAAAATCAAAACAGATAACAATTTAGCAATTCAACAAATAGGAAAATTAAAAAAAACGAACTAATTGAAAACGCAAGTAACAAAATTAAATTCTGTTGAAACTATTACATCTGTAAACTTTGCCCTCAAAAAAAGACAAAGAAAGTAAAAGAACAAAATTCTTGTGCTCTATAATACGAAGTGGGCGCAGTTGATTTCTTTTAGTTTCAAAAGAAAAGTTTTTGTCGTATAGGCATGTGGGTGTTGTAGGCGTGTACTTGAAAAGTGTAGATCAACTCCAAAACTTTTGCAAGCTTGTAGGCGATGTCATAATTTTCGGCAACGGAAAAAAGTTTACCACAAATACTACAAAGCGAAAGCGGACAGATCGACGGACGAACAGGACATATTTAAGTACATTCTATACTTAATCGAGTTTTTTAAGCTTGTTTCTGCGCATTATAAAGGTATTGAAAAAATAATTAAATTTTGATAAATTATAATATTGGGTGCGCGGTCAATTTGACCACTTTTTTGACTAATTAGCAAAAAACCAATTTTGCATTCCGTTTAAAAACTAGAGGTACTTTCAGCTTACGGGGTGGTGTCCTTCGAGCGGTATGGACCATTTTCAATACCAACCTGCGTGCACGAACTTCTAGTATCGGGTTCTGCCAAATTTAACGTCGATAGACTCATTTTTGCGACCAGGAGAATGTTACAACAGACATTACACATGTGGATAGGCGGACGATTGGACTGACGGACTTGCTTAGGTCGATTTAGAATTTGATACTTTGTGGGGTTTCTGATGTTTCCTTCTGAAAGTGGCAAACGGTTTGCCAAAATGAATATACCTCTCATCGTTTGGCGATGGATATAAAAAGTAAAAAAGTTATAATCGGTTGTGACCTAATACGTTATACCC